TACTTTACTAAACATGATGTCCTTTTCCTTTTGAAAGTACATGTGCAAAGAACATTAGAAAAAGTCTCCCAACCTCATTTCTAAGGCACATTCTGGCTGTTTTTGGTCTGAGACAGATTTGTTCACCCTTCTGGAAGTCCATAGTGTTATTCAATGTTCTTTGCCAACACCATAATTCAGATGTACTGATTCATCTTCCGTCTCTCTGAAGGCCCCAGAAAGAAAATAATTGTTAACAGTGTTTCTTGTTAATGAAGTAGGATTGGCAGGGTTTAGTGAGATGAGAGAGCTCCACATTTTACTAGACTTTTGTGCTTTGGGCAGTTTATGGAATTATATTCCTGATTTCCTATTATTACAGAGGAAAAGGTGTGTACAAAGAGAAATTGGGACACAAAGAGGGACTGGGGTTAGGAAAAGGAAGATAAAACACCTTGGGGTAGTGAGTCCCAGCAGTTACCTTGACTATATCCTATGATATTTTGTGAATGGTAGTTTGGGGTTTGTATGTTGTTTTCAGGATGCATTATGTATCTAGAAGCATGTCAGAAACTTTGTCTTGATTTTTCTTTAATTAAAACTTCAAACAAATATCAAAATTAGATTTAAGATAAAATGAGCACTGGAAACTGGTGTTGAAAATAAAATAGAAATTAATTATTTAATCCACTGTATAAGGGGACTTTGAAACATTCATGAAAAAAATTGAGTATCTTTTAATTCTATTTCATGGTGTTTCTAAGGAGCATTCTGGGTGTATTTCTCTCAAGACGGATTCGTTGGTTCTTCTTGTGGTCTGTGGTATATTCAATATTTTTCACTAATACTGTAATTCAAAGACTGCAATTCTTTTCTGATTTTCTTTATTCATTATCCAGCTTTTGCATGTATAGATTGTTGTTTGTTGTTAAGTGCTGTCAAGTCGGTTCTGACTCATAGCGACCCTATATAGGGTTTCCAGGGAGCAGCTGGTGAGTTTGAACCACTTACCTTGCAGTTCAAACCAACCTTGTGGTCCAGTACTTACTCGACAGTGCCCAACACAAGGGGGCTCCAAAAAGTTTGTAGGAAAATAAAATGAAAAGCAAATGGAATTTTTTTCACAAACTTGTTGAAGCTCCCTCATTCCATGGCTTAGGTCAGATGTACCCAAGTCTGATTTTTTTTGCAGCAGATTCACCCAGTGCATCAACACACAATAAACACACTATAGAACAGTTGTGTCTATCACAGAAGCCTTTTCTTTGGTTCTTACTTTATTGGATATTTTGTCAATAAAGTAAACATGTATTTAACCCCTATATTAGTCCGTGGACTCCTGGTGTGACGCTGTAGGATAAGCCCTGGACTGCAAACTACAGGGTCAGTGGTTTGGCAGTTCAAACCCATCAACAGCTTCTCAGAAACCCAATACAGGGTCACTATGAGTCGGAACTGACTCAATAGCACTTAACAGCAACAACATGAGTCCCTGGGTGTTACAAATGGATAAAGATTTCAACTGCTAACCAAATGGTTGGTGGATTCAAGTCCATCCAATGGTGCCTTGGAAGAAAGGCATGGTGATCTACTTCCAAAAAATCAGCCATTGAAAACCCTTCAGAGCACATGCAATCGTTTTGAATTTGAGTCCAGATGATAGTAACTGGCTTCTGTATACAACCATTCTGTATGAGGGATGTGACCTAGAAGGAAACAGACAAGACTCTTACTCTCTGGGAGCTTATAGTTGGGACCAATTGGAAATAAGAAGCTAAAAAACCCAGGAAGTGAAAAGTTCTTTGATGAAAAGTAGACAGGGTGATGTGCTAGGGAGTGTCTGAGGGGCGGTTAGGAAAGACTCTTTGAGGAAGCACTCATATACCGTGGTGTGCGTGACAGGAAGGAGTCAGCTGTGTGATAATTTGGGGGAAAAGCATACAATGCAGAAGGAACTAGACCAGTTACCCAAGAGTGGGAAAGAACTTCACAGGCCCCAGAGCATGCTGTTGGTTGGAGAAAGAAGTTTGAGATGCCTGACGAAGCCAGATCGTGTCTGGATTTAAGGATAAAGTAAGGAGTTTAGATGTCATTCCAAGTGTGATGAAGCCATTGGTGTGTGTGTGTGTGACATATCTCTACATATCTGATTGTAGCTAGGTGAGACTAGAAGCAGGGAGACCCATTAGGAAGCAAGGCAAAAAGTCCAGACGGGAGAACACGGTGAGCAGGGGGATTGGTCTGTACATAAACTTGCTGTGAATTGTTGTTGTTGTTGACCGCTGTCGAGTTGGTTCTGACTCATAGCGATCCTGTATAGGGTTTCCAAGGCTGGTGGAATTGAACTGCTGATTATGCAATTCAAGCCAACATTGCAATCGAGTGCTTATCTGAGAGTGCCAAACCAGTATTCCTGCTCATGAATTAAAGGCCAGAATATGGGGAAAAGGAGGACTTAGGGAATGCCTTCTAGGCTTTGGTTTGAGCAACTAAGAAGCATATTTCCTGAGATGGGGAAAACTGGGAAAGGAACAGGTTTGGGGAAAATCAGTGTCTGTTCTGAGTGGGCCAGGTTTGACATGCCCTTTAGATTGATGTTAGATGGACGGTGAGTCAGGCCAGGTTGCAGGTCAGGAGTGGAGCTAACACATGTGGGAGCTGCTTACACACAGACCCCTGTGGGGAAGTCGATTCAGACTCATGCATCCCCTTGTGCTACATACAGGGTCCAACTGCTGCGGAAGAGTTTCTTGGCTGTAGTATTTACAGACGCAGACCACCAGGGCCATATTCCATAGCATTACTGGGTGGGTTCAAACTGCTAACTTTTTGGTAAACAGCTGAGCTCAAACCATTGGCACCCTCCAGGGACCTCCCTACACAACAATGACACTGAAGCCATGGAATGGATCCTAGTGTCTTGCATTTTGCCACTGTGCGGTGTGCATGTCACTTTTTCTTAGACTACACAGATGGTCTCTGTGTGGAGACCTTCCCTGAGTGTGACTTGGCTTTATCATTGAGGTCTCTCTTAGCTTTGCAGTGTGAAGGGCAGAGAAAGAACAGTAAAAAGAAACTGCGGTTAGTTACGGGCATACTTCTCATTTGTATGTTGTTATTGTGGTTAAGCGCTGTCGGGTTGGCTCCAACTCATAGAGACCCTGTACAGGGTTTCCAATGAGCCTCTGGTGAGCTTGAATCACTGACCTTGTGGTTCAAACCGACCTTGCAGTGCAGTATTTTAACCCACATTGCCACACCAAGTCTCATTTATATAGCTCTCCTCATTTTCCCCCTTGGCTTTAAGTAACACAAATGTATTTTCTCACACTTTTGTCTAGAAGTCCACGTCAGGGTCTTATCAGTATTGATTCCTTGGGTCATTAACTTGCTGATGGGTTTGAGGTTGGTTGTTTCTATACCCGCCAGTGACTCTTTGGGAGACAAGATCTAGCAGTATGCCCCTGTAAGAACTGCATCAAGGAAAACCCTGTAGGGTCGGTCTGCTCTGTCTTATGGGGTCGTTATGAGTTAGAATTGTGTTGGTGGTCATTATAGGAACTTAAAGTCTATGTTTGATCTATTTATAATGAAATTACTAATATGAACTGGTTTCGATACAGCATCTTTCTAGTTGCTTTCTCTGTGTGGTTTTGTGTGTGTGTGTGTGTGTGTGTGTGTGTGTGTGACTGCCTAAGTTTTTTAATCCTGGTGTGGCGCTCTGGGTTAATGCACTGGACTGCAAAGTTGGTTTGAACCACAAGGTCAGTGGTTCAAATTCACCAATCACTCCTCGGAAACCCTATACAATGCCGCCATGAGTCAGACCTGACTCCACGGCACTTAACAACAACAACAACAAGTTTTTTGAGATTCATGTTGTTGCATATTTCATTATTTTCTGTTACTGCTGTTGAATAGTATTCTGTCTTAAGGCAATGCCAGATTTTGTTTATCTCTTAGAGTTCTCCACATTTTAATCATCACTTCATTAAAGCTAAAAATGGAACTTAAAAGTAAAGTTTATTTAATTTCTAAATAAATATTAAATGGACTTAATAAATATTTAAGAAAACATTTGATATTTAACACTTACTTATTAAATAAATATTTAGTATTTGAATGTTATAGTAATAAACATGAATATTTAATGTAAAGTCATGTATATTTTTAGTGAAGCGTCTTGCTGCTAGCACTCTCTGACATTTGGTATGTCACTTGCTTACTTTTTTGGAGAACAGAAAGATTAAAGTGAGAAATTATAAAACTCTCTTTACTTCTAATGAATATTCCCATTTTGAGTTTGATATTTAATTACAATAATTTTGATGTCTGGATGTTTTACATTTTTATGTGACTTATCTGATGGAGTCCTGGTATGGCTCTATAGAATAAGCACCAGACTGTTAACCACAAGGTCAGCCATTCAAACCCACCAGCTGTTCCTCAGAAACCCTTATACAGGATTGCTATGAGTAAGAACCTCAACATCATTTTTGTCTTTTGTGGCTTTTCTGGTTGTTTTTATTTTTTGAAAAGCCTTTCCTATTCAGGAGCTCTAGTGTGGTGCTGCAGCATAAGCACTGGACTGCTAATCACAAGGTTAGTGGCTCAAACCCACCTGCTGCTCCTTGGAAACCCTGTACAGGGTCCCTGTGAGTCAAAACTGATTAGGTAGCATTGAATAACAGTAATAACTTTAGTGAGCTGTTTTCTTAATGTCAGGCCCCCAGTGTTTAATGACTTTTGGTTTGGTTTGCTTGTTGTTTTTGTTTTGAACTTAGAAACTCAAAGGGAATTTACTGTGTTTTGTAAGGTGAAGTACAAACCTTTTTTTGCATCTTCAGAATACTCTGGAATTTGAAATATGATTGGACCCTTATTTCTCTTGAATGATGCTTGCTCATTGCAGATAAGACCTCCACGTGGTGAGCTCAAAACGCCAGTCCAGGTGGGCAGCAGCCGGCAGCAAACACCTCCTCTGTTTTGAATGGGGTCACACCAGCCCTGAATCTGGAAAGATGGAGTTGCAGACTACAGGCCTGCAGGAGTCTCCCGTGAACCCCTGGGAAGGGATCAGTGATGCCTCTGGCCGTGCTGATGGGTTGCCCTGTGTCTCGGACTCTGACCACCCTCCTTGTTCATTAGACGTCAGGTTCACGAGGCAAAAAGCCGCCTGGATTAACCCCCACTGTGTGCAGCCACAGTTGCAGGATTTGTGCCTCCCGGTAGCAACCGTGGGGAAGAATGGGGGCCACCTTGTGGCTGATATTCCTTCTCCCTCTGGTCCTTCACCGACACCCCTTGGGAACGCCCTGACAGAGACACCATTGTTGAAGGAGAGTCCACAGCTCTCCCTGGACAGTTCCTCTGTCCCTGGCCCCTGTGGAAAGAATAGATGCTTGTTTTTGAGCTCATCTCAAGAGCGGGCTGTGCTCCCAAGAAGCTCTCCTCAGAGGTCCCAATTCACCAGCAATCAGACTGACGATTCTTTTACCTTGCCTAACCACCGAACAACTGATGAAGGTAATGGTATGTCTGTGATTTTGCTTATTCCTGTCTGTTCACAGACTTGCTTGCCTTATTGTTTTGTCCGTGAGACCAAAAGCTCCTGGTTTCCATTTTGACTAGAAGCCAGTGCACTAGCCCATTGAACGTTGTTTTTGGCCCAGCCACCTGGGATGATCCTGCAGTGAAATCAAGAGTTTCCTTTCTCCATCGGCTGTAGGGAAATGCCATCTGTTTAGCTCAACATAAACCAGTTATCGCCGAGTGGAATTTGACTTATGGCAACCCCACACATGTAGAGAAGAGCTGTGTTCCGTAGGATTTTTAATGGCTGATTTTTCAGAAATATATCACCAGACTTTCTTCTGCAGGACCTGTGGTTGGGCTTGAGCCACCAACATTTTGGTTAGCAGACAAGCTTGTTAACCCTTTGCACCCACAGGAGTTCCTTAGTGCCAAATAGGTAGTTGATAACCAATGCCATAGGTGGTCTTTAAGTTGGCTTAAAGAGAGCTTCAAAAGTGTTCTCAATTCAGTGTGGTTGGTGGTAGATGTTTCTAGACCGTTAATTAGAGGAGAGCTCTGTTTCAGACCAGCACTTTAGTAAGAGATTAACTCACCTCATCTAGTTACCAATGCAGGGTGAGACATTAAAATATCCCACCTCCACCAAATAACACAAACTCACTGCCATTGAGTTGATTCTGACTCATAGTGACCCCATACGGGGTTCCCAAGGCTGTAAATCTTTACTGGAACAGAAAGCCTCGTATGTTTTCAGTGGAGTGGCTAGTGGGTTTGAACTGGTGACCTTGTAGTTAGCAATTCAGTGCTTATCCTACAATACCATACTAGGAATCCTAGAACAGTAAGATTTAAAATAATCACATTACCCTAAAGACTGTTCAGAAATATTTTTGAATTTGAACAAGGGCTTCCTACAAAATACCATTGGCATCAAGTAATGTACCTCTTTCTAAAAACCTAAAATGAGAATCTATGTGAAGTGCCACTTGATAGCTTTTGTTACTGTTATAATCTGTGATGTGTTTGTTTTAGTGTTTTAATATTGATTAGGGTATATTTGCATTTTGTGTTATTTGTATTTTGGAGTCCTGATGTAGGGCTGTGGATACTTGGTGTGGTGCTGTAGATAAGCACTGGACAGCAAGGTCAGTTTGGACCACAAGGTTGGCGGTTCAAGCTACTCAGCTACTACTCGGAAACCTTATACAAGGTCGTTGAGAGTCAGAACTGAACTGACGGCGTTAACAACAACAACAACAATAGTGTAGAGCTGTAGGATAAGCACTGGACTGATAACCACAAGGTCAGCAGTTTCAACTCACCAGCTGCTCCTTGGAAACCCTATACAGGGTCACTATGAATTGGAACCAACTCAATGGCACTTAACAATAACAACACCTTCGAATAGTAATAAACTTTTAAAAAAAGTGTAAAATGCTATTTATACATATGCATATATATGTGGAGTCCTGGTATAGCGCTGTAGGATAAGCACTCGACTGCAGTGTTGATTTGAACTGCAAGGTTTGTGGTTCAAACAAAACAGCCACTCCTCAGAAACCCTATACAGAGTAGCTGTGAGTTGGAACCAACTCAATGGCACTTAACAACAACATTTATGTATGTGTTGTTCACTATGGTGGTGGTGCTTGTATCCTACTCAGTTCTGACTCACATTGACCCTGTCTAAGATTTCAGAGGCTGTAAATCTGTATGGTGTCCTTATGTGGCACTGTGGGTTAATGTGCTGTACTGCAAAGTCAGTTTGAGCTGCAAGGTTGGCAGTTTAAGCTCACCAGCCGCTCCTTGGAAACCCTATACGGGGTCTTTAAGGGTTGGAACCAACTAGACGGCACTTAACAACAACAACAAATTTTTATGGGAGCAGAAAGCCTCATCTTTCTTCTGTGGAGCAACTGATAGATTCAAACTACTGATCTGGCAGTTAGCAGCCCAATTTGTAATCGTCTACCCTACCAGGCTTCCTTATTGCTCACTATAATATGAGATTTATTCTACTGGAAACTTTTGAAAAATCAACGGTAATGACCGTCTTTACATGTTACTTGTAACTTTAGAATTTTGGACAGTCTTCCAATGGGCTAATTTTGAGATGGCTATCTGGTAGCGTAGTGGCTATGAATCGGGCTGCCAACCTCAAAGTTGGCAGTTTGAAACTACCAGCTGTTCCGTGGGAGAAAAATAAGGCTTTCTACTCCCGTAAAGATTTATAGCCTTGGAAACCCTGTGCAGGGTTGCTATGAGTCGGAACTGGCTCCATGGTACTTAACAACAACAAAATTAAGCAAAATGATAGCTTGGTTATAGGTTGTCTTCTTTTTTCCCCTATAACTTTTTGCTCTCTTGCATGGATAGTTTTGAGGATAAAGAATGACTTGAGAAAGTGAGAGGAATTTAGTAGGATAGGAATAAAGGCTTGGGGAACTCCCTCTAAAAGATCACAGCCATTTGAGTCCTCTGATCCGCATTGTGTCTCCACGGGCACAAGTCAGCTCAATGTCTTCTGGTTTTTGTAAATTTAAAGATTGCTGAGTAAGAGCTTAATCCCCTAAATGGGGACCTTTTTTTTCTGCCAAAATTTATAACATCATTCACAGGTCATACAAAATTACCACATTAAAATTTGACTGCTCTATTTGGTCAAACATTTAGTTAACTCGACCCTAAACTGACTCAAAGGCACTTCAATAACAACAACAACAACAACAATGTGATGACATCTTGGTGTGGTGCTGCAGCATTAGCACAGGACTGCAAAGTTGTTTCAGTCACAAGGTTGACAGTTCAAACTCACCAGCTGCTCCTCGGAAACTATACAGGGTCGCTATGGGTTGGAACCGACTTGGGACTTAACAACAATGTGATGCCTGGAACTGCAGTTGCCTTGGCAGGACCAGACCGAATGATTTTGTGGACCTTACACAGCCCGCAAAGGAGCTCTGTTAGCGTAGTGGTTATGAATCGGGCTGCAAACCTCAAGGACAGCTGTTCGAAACTACCAGCTGCTCTGAGGGAGAAAGATGAGGTTTTCTGCTCCTATAAAGATTTACAGCCTCAGAAACCCTGTTCAGGGTTGCTATGGGTTGGAACCGACTCAATGGCACTTAACAACAACAACAACACACAGCCCGTGGGCTGGACGTTCCCTACCCCTGCCCTACATGGTCTCAGAGAGGACCAGTGAAGAGAACTGGGAGAAGAGAGCTAAGCCTTGTCAGTCCCAAGTCCCCACTCAGATGACGAGTCACCAAGTGACTGCAAATAATCTCTTAGGCCCTGTAGACATCTGTCTGCATTATTTGTTGAGTCACCGTTGTAAAGCTGCAGGAAGCTGTGTTTGCAATTTTTAATTATTCTGCCGCTTTGTCTTCAAGAAAGAAGGTAGATGCCCCCACCCGTTTCTGTTCAAACATAGACTCTCAGCAATCCCTTACACACTGTCCACTCAGTCTTTTGAGAGTATATAACTTCTTTCAGTGTTCAACAGCAAGGTTGGTTTGAACCACAAAGTCAGTGGTTCAAACTCACCAGCGTCTCCTCAGAAACCCTATACAGGGATGCTTTGAGTTGGAATCCATTCCAGAGCACTTAACAACAACTTGGGTCTGATGTCCTGGAGTAATTGAGTTTGATGAACAATCGCTCCAAATAAACAGAGAAAGAGAAATCCTTGCTTAGGAAGTTGGCTAACAGAGCCCTGGCTGCTTTAAGGGGTGTTCTATTAGTTTGTTTACAAGCAGTATTTATACTATTTATTAACAATGTTTGTCTCGTATTACACACAGGTGTGCTATAATTCTTACATTCACACCCTGGCTCTGGTAGTGTAGTGGTTACAAATTGGGCTGTGAACCTCAAGGTCAGCAGTTTGAAACTACCAGCTGTTCCGCAGGAGAAAGATACGGCTTTCTGCTCCCGTAAAGATTTACAGCCTCGGAAACCCTGTACAGGGTCGCTATGAGTCGGAACCGATTCCACAGCACATAACCATCAAATGTATTAAAGGAGAGCAGGAGTTTAACGAGGTGGTCACGCCCTATCTGAGTGCCAACAGGGATCATCAGCTTCCAAGTTCCAGGCAATCATTAACATTCCAACTGAAATGAGCTGAAACGTAAGTTTAAGGAGCAGTGTCAGAGTGGGGGATGTGGACACATACTTACTTCCAGGCAGTGTTGGCTATATTTACTCATAGCTAGACAGAGTGATTGTTAGAACATCTACATATTCCTTGCCAAGGATACGGATATTATGATCTAGGAAAGGAACAAAGAAAGCTTGTTTGATTACCTCCAAGTTTTATCAAGTGATATTTCTACTGCGGCTGTCAGTTTTATTTTTTTAGCCCAGGGGAGGAGACACCAGCCCCAGGCATGTCCAGCTCTTCTCCAAAGGTGACCTGTTTTGGAATGTTACATGTTAGAATCTAGCATCCTCAGTATTTGGGCTGGGGGATTTATTTATTTATTTACAATGTTTTATTGTGAATTATGTGATCGTTTACATGGGAGAACATTAGTTTTACATTCATCCTATCGTATATCATTTCATTGCCATGGTTACAATCCCCTCTATCCATCATCAACCAACCAAAGGGTA